GGGTGGGGGGGGGGGGGGGGGGGGAAACTAGGGATGTTGGGGACACTGGGGGCACTGGGGGAACATCAGGGGCGTTGGAGGGACGTAGAGGGGACAATGGGGAACATCGGTAGGCAGGGGGGACGATGGGGAATGTTGGGGGGCACAGGGGATAGCGGGGAACCTTGGGGGGACGTTGGGGCCAATGGGGGAGATGGGAACAAAGGGTGCATTGGGGGGGGGGGTCCCATCCTCACCGATGAAGATCTCTGGGAAGGGGGGAAGGGGGGCAGAAACCACTCCCCCTCCCCATTTTAGGGCCTTTGGGCAGCGCTCTGAGCACCCGCTATGGCGCCCGCCCCGTGGTCATGGCCGGGGGCTTCCTGGCAGGGATGGGTTTCCTCCTGGGGGCCTTTGCCACCCGCCTGTCCCACCTCTACCTCAGCGTGGGGCTGCTGGCAGGTACGTTGGATGACCCAGAACGTGGAGCTCCGTGGGGGAGGGGTGGGAGATGGCGAGTGACCCAGAACGCGAGAGTTCTTCAGACGAGGGGTGGGAAGGGGATTGAGTGACCTAGAGCAGGAGGGCTATTTGGGTGAGGGTCGGGTGCCCTAGAACGCGGGCTTCTCTTGGCGAAGGGTGGGAGATGGTCAGTGCCCTAAAACGTACGGCTTGTTTGGCTGACCCAGAACCGCCCCACTGCAACGGTTGACCCAAATCATCCCATCCCGGTGGGTGACCTAGAATGACTCCAAACCATCAGGGAACCCAAACCACTGCGTCCCGTTGGGTGACCTGGAACCACCCCGACCCATTGTTCGACCCAAATCACCCCTTCCCATTGGGTGACCTAGAACCATCAACCCGCCAGCTGACCTAAACCACTGGGTGACCTAGAACCACCCCAACACACCGGTTGCCCTAAACCACTGGGTGACCTAGAACCACCCAACGCACCAGTTGCCCTAAACCATTGGGTGACCTGGAACCACCCAACCCACCAGTTGCCCTAAACCACTGGGTGACCTAGAACCACCCAACACACTGGTTGCCCTAAACCATTGGGTGACCTAGAACCACCCAACCCACCGGTTGCCCTAAACCATTGGGTGACCTAGAACCACCCAACCCACTGGTTGCCATAAACCATTGGGTGACCTAGAACCACCCAACCCCTTTGGCTGACCCAGAACACCTCCTGGCAGGCCTGGGCTGGGCGCTGGTCTTCACCCCTTCCCTGGGGGCTGTGAGCCGCTATTTCCCAACGCGCCGTGCGACGGCGACTGGTTTGGCCATGGCGGGTGCCAGCGTCGTGGGACTGGCCCTGGGGCCGCTCATCCCACTCCTGCTGGATGCCTACGGCTGGCGGGGGTCTCTGCTCCTCCTGGCTGCCCTCTCCTTTAACCTGATGGTGGCCGGCGCCTTGCTCCGCCCCTTGGATGTCCCCGTCGAGATCGAGTCCCCACGGCCACCGCCGCCACGTGGCCAAGCCGGGTTGCTTGGATTGCTGCATCACGGCCCCTTCCTCCGCTACGCCTTGGCTTTCGTGCTGGTTGATGCCGGCTACTACGTGCCCCACGTCCATGGGCCGGCCCGCGCCCGAGAAGTGGGGTGTGATGAACAACGTGCCGGGCTGGTGATGGCGGTGACGGCGGTGGCCGACGGCGCTGGGCGGGTGGTAGCTGGTTTGCTGGCAGCCCGACCCGCCGCCTCCTTGCTGCGCCACCTCTTCGCCTGGTCCGTGCTGACGGGCTTGGCGTTGCTGCTCCTCCCTTTGGGGACTTCCTTTGGGGGGCTGACGGCTTTGGTTCTGGCTTACGGGTTCTGCGCCGGCGCCATCGTTCCGCTCCAGTTCACCGGCGTGGCCGAGGTGGTGGGAGCCGGGCGGCTGCTGCACGCCATCGGCCTCATGCAGATGTTTGAGAGCGTCGGGTCGCTGCTGGGAGCTCCTTTTGCTGGTAGGATGGGGGCAGCTGGCGTGGGGCTGGGGGCGCTGTGGGGTTGGGGGGACCTGGAACCAGTCGAGGAAGGGCACCCAACAGTGGTTCCTGGCCCGATTTCCCAACACTTGGGGTCCAAAAAGAACTCTGCTCACGTGTCCTTGAGGTTGGCGACCTCAATCCGGTCGCTGGGAGAATCCAGGAGTGGTTCTTGGCCTCCATGTCCACCATTTTGGGACGTAGAATGATGCCACAGGCGTCATGGAGTTGGGGGACCTATAACTGGTCATGGAGGGCGTGTGGGGGGAGGGGATCCTTGGCCTAACTTCCCGTTGTTTGGGGTCAAAAACAACACCGCTGCTGTTTCATGGGGTTGGAGGACCTGGAATTGACCACTGGAAGCATGTAGGAGTTTGGTTCTTGGCCTGATTTCCCATTGCTTGGGGTCATAAAATGGCTTGTGGTGGGATTTGGGTGACCTAGACCCAGTCACGGGCGGGCACGTGGGGGTGCCTTATCTGGGGGTTCCAGGTTCCTCGATGCTCTCTTTCAGGTTGGCTGCGGGACCTGACTGGGGACTTCAAGGTCTCCTTCCTCGCTGCTGGTGCCTTCCTCCTGGCTGGGAGCCTCCTCATCCTCACCCTCCCCAGCTTCTTCCGCACTTCCCGGAGCGATGGCAGTGGCACAGAGGGGGTTCCTGATCCAGTACCTAAAGGCCTTGAGCTCTCTTCAGTTCCCCTCTCACCGCCCAATTAAACCAATTAAATCCTCATTTCCCACAAAGCTTGGACTGGGCTGCGTCTCTCCTTCTTGGTGGGGAGGGGAAGGGAGGTCTGGTTCTAGGTTACCCAACCAGGACCCATTTGAGATGGCAGACTTGGGGGTCTGGTTCTAGGTTACCCAACCAGAACCCATTTGAGATGGCAGACTTGGGGGTCTGGTTCTAGGTTACCCAACCAGGACCCATTTGAGGTTGCAGCTTTGGGGATCTGGCTTGAGGTAACTCAACCAGGACCCATTTGAGACGGCAGATTTGGGGGTTTGGTTCTAAGCAGCCCAGTGAGAACCCACCTGAGACAGCAAATTTGAGGATTTGGTTCTGTTTGGTTCCAGGTATCCCAACCAGAACCCATCTGGGACAGCAGATTTGAGGGGGTAGGGGTGGCTCTAGGCGACACATGCATTTCCATTTTGGGGGAGGACAAAAATGGTTCCACAACCTCCACCAGGGCTTTCCTGGGTTATGGCTCTAGGTCCCTTAACCAGCCCCATTCCAGATACCCCAACAAGTTGCCTGAGAACAAATTGCTTTATTTCAATTAATAAAAGGGGGCACGGCCTGGCCCTGGACAGAGGGGCCCGACCCTCAAGTATGGAGCTATAGGGTGGAGTGCTTGGAGGGGGCACGGGTGAGCTTCTCGGGGTTGTCGGAAGCCATGAGGGAGATGTCGCGGAAGATGTCGAGGTAGGTGTCATCACCTGGGGAGGGGGAGCGGGGGGGGACCTTAAAACGGGGGCGCCCTCAAAAAACCCCACCGTCCCCACTGAAGGATCTCCAGTTCTGGCAGCTCCCGCTCTTAGGGTTGACCCAATCTCAAAGCCCCTCCCCACCCTGGAACTCCTATTCCCTTCCTGTAAGCCAAGGGTTCCCCCCAAATCTTGGGTTCAAGGATGTCCCACACGTGGAGCGATGGACTCCCGAACCCAAATGGCCTCAAATCCCACGGAAATTCATCCCCAAACCCACAGCTTTGCCTCCACTCACAGAGACCAACTCCAAATGATGCAAAATCACAGGGATTGACCCCAAAACCCAGAGATCCACCCCAATACCCAAAGATGAACCAAGAGATCCCAGAAAAACACCCAGAGGTTGACCACAGAGCCCAGAAATCGATCCAGAACCTGAGAGATTCACCCTCAAACCCACAGATTGACCCCAAAACCCACCGGTCTGCCCCTGGGCCGCATCCAGCTCTCGCATCTTGGCCAACCGCAGCCTGAAAGGGGGGAGGAATGGTGGAGGCGGGGGGGGGAAATCAGTGATAGGAGGAAATGAGGTGGGGGTCGCACAGCCCCGACTTGAGGTGCTATCCACCCAGCACCTATGGGTGCGCCCAGTTTGGGGAGGAGGCTCACAGGGTGACGATATCAGCGTTGGCCAATTCCATGGCGATGGTGAGGGCGTCCTTCCCCTCCGCATCCACGGCGTTGATGTCAGCACCGCGCTTCAGGAAGAGGCACGCCAGGCTGCAATGGGGCAGGGGGGGCACATGTGTGGTAAGGGGACACATAGATGGGGAAGGGGGGGGGCAACGGGGTCGGGATTTAGGGGGGAGGGGTTCCGTTCGGGTATCAAATGGGACAGAATCTGCACTGGGACGTGGGGGGTATCGAAGGACCCCCAAGTAAATGGAGGTCTGCCCAACTAGGGACCCTTCCCCAGAGGAAAAGGGGATACTCCAAAAATGAGTGGGGAATGCCCCCCAAAAAATGGATCCCCCAAAGGGAAGAGTTGGTCCCCCATCCAGGAACGAACCGGGGCAGCCCTCGCTGAGCTTCCCGACAGAGGGAGCCACGCGGGGGGTGAAAACCACCACCATCCAAAAAACGAGGGCTTGGGGTCACCCATCCAAGGGTGGCACAGGACAGTCCCTGCTGAGCTTCCAGTGTGTGCGGCGTTAGGGGCGGGCAGCACCACCATGCCTTTAAATGGGGGCGTTTTGGGGTCACCATTCCGAGAGCAAACATGGGGGCTCCCACACAGCGCCCCCCCCCCCCCCACTGCCCCCACCCCTTTTACAGCCCCCCCTCCCCCAGCACTAACCCGGTGTGCCCCAGCATGGTGGCGTGATGCAGCGGCCCCCGCCCATGGCTGTCCCTCTGATTGACATTGGCGCCGTTCTGCAGCAGGAACTCACAGCCCAGCAGCGAGTTCTGTACGTGGGAGAAGGGGGGACCTCATTGTCAGGGTGATGGGTGGGGGGGGGGGGGGGG